TATAATATGTTTACAATCTTTTTATATTATATCACGTGTATATATTATATATTTTCGTGCTACCATACTCAAAGCGAAATCTAATTTTAATTTTTTATGGMAAGACATGTACAAAATACCTAAATTATATTTATTTAATCACCGCAGTATAATTACTTAATAAACACACCCTTATTTTTCCGATGGCGCTGTTATGTTAATTTATTCAAATCATCCTCTCTCGGTCAGTAGTGTGTCCAAATGAAGCGGGGATAGGAAACTTCGAAATTCATTTTTTTTTTCTAAAATTTTTTTATTATTAGGATTCTCATTTGAAAAATGTATTATAAATTTATAATACACTACARGTACATGCATGAATAATTCTACAATTATCCTACACAGTACACAAATAATATAAATTACTTCTATAGGTGTCATCAAGCAACAAGGATTTTTTCAAGAGGGGTGTCCGCCAGTAGCGTATACAGTATTTCCCCAATTCATTTCCAAATTTGTTAGTATAGTATGTACAAGTGGCAGTCGTCATGACTACTATTAAATATTTATCTATTATATTATTTTATTCAAACGATTTGAATCAAAACACCACCATAATTATTTCTGAATACACTACTAACGTCCAACGTTTTATTAACTAAACATTTTTAATACTTTATATCACGTGAATACGTCACACGTATGTTTAGATTAAAGTTACATATAATTTTAGTAATTGTCGATAAACTATGGACAAAATACTTAGTTACATTTATCAGTTATAAATTATAACACTAGATTTAGATTTTAAAAAAGATTGAACATTTTTTTCCAATGGTTATTGAATATAATTAAATAAACATTTCCTACTATGCGGTTCAAGGGGGGTATCCTGGCACCCAAAACACCCCCCTTGGTTGCACCACTGTCTTCAAAAGACCAAATTATCAATACAATCGCACAATATTTATTATATAATAAAGCTGTGGTATACTCGAATCGCCGTTATTCAACTAAAATTAAAAAAAAAAATTAATAGGTATTCATAAAAAAATTTCAATTAACCTAGAAAAAGTGTACAAGAACTGCCTTAAAAAATATGATTATTTAATTAAATT